ACAATAAAATTAAATATCAACAATACTGAACACTAGCATTTGTGTTCCCATTACTTCAAGTCTTCTCCCTTTTCCTGTTTATTAATTCATTTTTTCCCCATCCCATCTGTTCCTTAGTGCTTCCTCGCAGTCTCTTATTTCCAACTTCGTTTCTCTTCTTACAGCTTCCTTCTGCCAATCCTCTCCATCTTTTCTTCTCTGATTCTTCTTTTTTTGCTTGTGCAGCTGCGTCACCACACACACACACACACACACACACACACACACACACACACACACACACACACACACACACACACACACACACACTGAGATCCTACAAATTCCCATTCTGACCACTGTTTCATAGCCATAAGGTAGACAGACTCGTTTACACTGCTGTAATTGTTCCTGACAGCCGATATGTCCCATGAAAGTAATTGGGATGAATGAGGATACATATGTGAGCATTAATGTGCATCGGGAGCTGATGCACAGTGACTGAGACCAGAGGAATTTAATGGCAAAGAAAGCAAAAAGAAAGAGTGTGAAGCAGAAGATGAGGATGTGAGGCCAGCAGGGGGAGAAACGATCAGTGCTCTATCTCCTCTGTGAAAATCTGGAGATGTTTAACTGGCTTTTACACTGTCTTCAGTTCTTTGACTATACAGTTTATCATCACCATCATTTTAAAGTCCTCTCTAGTCATTTTTATAAGAGATGACAGAAATGTGCAGAGCCAAAGGGTCCAAATGAAAGACAGGGGGAGTGGCAGAGTGGCCCAAGAAGGATAGTATGGTTGAGTAGCTTTAGAAGAATGAGGAGGGAACGTGATCTCTGTGCTTGTGTAACTCAGATCTTCTTCCTGTTGTTCCTCCATCTCTCTGCTGGTTGAAGATAAATAATGGACCCAGCCTGATCAGCACGACAGTGACGAATGACACTGCCAACATCACAGCACTTTTAAAAGAGACATATTTCATAAGCTGACATATTTTTCTGAGATCTTAATGAAAAATCTGTGAGATGCTGTAATGAAAACATGACTGGGTCATAGTACCAAGGCACTTGTATTCTGTCTTTTTCAGTTTTAGGTTGCAGCCACTCAACCTTTCTCTTTGGTGATGTGTTTCTCTTCTGAGAAGAGTCTAAAAAAATTGTAGGCAAATTGACAAACTTGCCTTCTAGAGGCTGCTGGTGAATTTCCCTTTTAAAAATCTAAATCAAATTAATCAACTTTAGTTCATATGTGGCAAGACCATTGGGGCATTTAAAGGTTCTACTTGTTAAAAACATCAAAGTGGGAAAAATAAAATGCATCAGCTGAGATGTAAAACATAAAACACTCATTCTATTATTAAGTAATGTGAATCATTTAACTGCTGACAAAAAAACTGTAATAAATACACAGAAAACTGCTGTTCAAAGTTGCAAATAATAGACACCATCCAGTGCAACCAAGTTAGCTGACTTTTATATCACAAAATGACTGAGAAACAATTCTAATATAAATAAAGGGGGGGGGGGGGGGGGGGGGGGGATAGATTTCTGTGGTCTTTTTTAAATTTTACTCCCATTGCATCCTTCCCCACAGATTACTGTGCAGGGGTCTCATTTATCAAACATTGCGTAAAATCGTTACTGAAACCGTACTTAAGCTCAGCAAAAAAATGTACTGAAGCCAAGAAGGTTTGTGACCTATTAAACATGGAGTACGCACAGCTGCACGCAATCTCCGCTTCATAAATCGGAGACTAACGAGAGTGTTTCTCAGCTGCATTTTAGTCACATCCCACCCTCACCACGCCCACTTACTGCCATAAATAGTCAATGCAAAGTGCCTTGTGGATCTCATGCATATACATAAGCCGGTTGTTGCAGCGCTCCGCCAATGACGATGGCGACCGTAGAGCAAGGCAGATCAAGGAAGCGCAATTTCACAGAAGCAGAAATTCAGGTGCCTGTGGGTGAGGTGGAGAAATGAAAGGACGTGCTTTTGCAAAACAAATAAGAGAAAATCCATGGAGTGGCACAGCGCTGCTGAAGCCATCAATGTTGAGAATTCTTCAGAGAGATCTGTGGCAGGTATAAAAAAAAAGGTCCAATCAGGGTTCGATCCCCAGACTCCCAGGTGAAAGTCACGCGTGCTAACCAGTCAGCCAAACAGAGATCTCCCTTGTCCAAGTAGCCAGGGCGCATGATCTATCGGGTGACAGTGACAGGACAAACACTGTCATAGACGCATGACTTTCTGTCTCAATCTGTCCCCCTGTCCGTATTCTGCGCTTCAGGCTGTGTGTGTGTGTATGTGCGTGCTTGTGTGTGTGAGTGTGCGCGCATGTGTGTGTACGCGTGTGTGTGTGTGCATGTGGGGTTCTTGTTCTGTGTGAAAACGAAGTAGTACAAGTGATAATGCTGCAGGATTTCATAATTTTATCCTTCTCAGCAGCAGCACTGCAGGTGCTCTCCATGTCCAAAATGTGCATAAGCAAGGTCCTTAGTCAACTTAAAGTTGCACACATTTTTCCGCTAAGTTTTCTTTCATAAATCCCAAAGTTTGCGTGGAAAGTAGCTCACGCAGTCTTCCGACCCCGTTTTGTGCGTAAGCAATCTTGATAAATCAGGCCACTGTTCATTAGGGGTGTAACTGTGATTCTCCACTGCATTCTCATCTATCTCTTCAGCTGCTTTAGCTCTAGCTTGAGTCTTATCTCTTGTAACAAGTGGCACAGATTACCATTTAAGCCAAAGGTGTCTGTGGCATTTACAGTGATGTCATTTTGAAATTAGAGGTTAGTTATAGCATTGGTAACAACCACTCTTCGATTTCAGGAAAATAGCTGAGACCGTTAGGTTTTGCCGTCAGAGAGCACAGAAGTTATGTATTTTTGCATATAAAGTCTTTAATTTTCTCAATTTATATTTAGAGCGCAGATTAATCATTACTGGTTGACCTTTCTTAGAAGTGCCTCATAGTTAAGTCCTTCTTAAACTTCAGTACAAGTCCTTAACCCACCCACAAGCTGGAAATTAGTTGCTACAGTTTTTATCCTTCACATGATGCTAATAATGCAATTTTTATGTTGGATCTTGAGTGAAAGAGTTCATTCAAAGACTTCTTGAAAATAAAACCCTTAACATTTTACCCAAGCACATTTACTCTATTCTAAATTCATAATCCTCATCATACAATGATGATGATGAATCCCAAATTCTTGCTAAAGAACAAAGGCTGTGGAAAAAAAGGTGTGAGCATGCATCTTTGGGTGTGGAAAAAGATTTGCCTGCTTCAGACTAAATACAGCTCACCCAGGAGAGGGTTTAAGAGCCGTTAAGGCGGCTTATCCAGCGCTCACACACACACACTCTCACTGGAGTCTCATAAATCTGAAGGCTCACACACATGACAACAGACCAACACAAATGTTCACACAAAAGGATTCTAATAGTTGTTTTGATGTTGCATCATGGCATCATGGTTGTGCTGATTAAGACATACCAATTCAGAGAGAATGGCAGGTCTAGCAACATGCACAACTGACCAACAGTCTCAGCATAGGAAGTTAAAAAAGAGCAAGTTGGGTTTTCAGTGATCATTTTAAAGCATTATCCTCAAAAGATACATTAAAACTCAGGTTCTACCAAAAAGAATAAAAAAGAAAAAGAGAATGTAGATGTGGGAGTGTTGTTGGGATTTTAGTATTCATGTTAGTCATGTTACACAGGCTTTTAAAATAACTGGTTAACTGGTTAGTGTTAAGCTTGGTTTATGCTTGACGCATTTACTTTCCGCTTGGTGATGCGGCTCGCGGATGGAACGCGATTCACAACTTGCAGCGTTTATGGTTCATGCGGCTTGTCTCTGCGGTGAGCCAATATTCTCCCAAGCTGTAGGGGGCAGCATGGAGCTCTACGGCATGCATCCAACACTACACCATAGTAGAAGTAAAAATTACTGTTGTTTACAACATGGCATTCCAGCATTTATAACAGCGTCCTCGTCTTTTCCGACAGTGCGAGCTATTTCTCTCCAAGAATTATTAACAACATGTTGATCACGGTGATCTTTGAGAGCTGTATCATACAAATGTCTGTATTTACGAACCTCTGCCATACTAGTTCTTGCCAGTCCGCCATGTTTTTCCGCGTCCACCGTCCGCGTGGTTAGAAAATTTCCTAGGTGCAGCCTGTGTGAGAAGGTGCTCCCCTGTCTACTGTGTGATGGAGAGGGTGCTGGTCATTGTCCATGATGGATAATCATCTCCACCTCATCTCCACCATGGAGACAACTAATTGGGACAACTTGCACACATGGGCACATACTGTGTGCTATAGCCCACCCAATCAAATGGCTTCCCTTTTAAAAATAAAAATAAAATAAAAAGCTTGCCCATTTTTATTAGGCCCGGCTGAAAATTAGTTTATGAGTTTGGACATTGGACAAATGAGCCACACTACCAGTGGCCGCCAAATACTTTTGTCCTATAAGTTTTTGTCCATTTTGCCCAGACCATGCTCTGCATGACATGAATACACATGTATATAATGTATAGGTAATAAATGTGATTGTTTTCAAAGTAAGAGCATTTCATAGAGTTGTATTGGTTTGTTGTAATTTGTACTTGGTATTTCTGTCCATGTGCTTTTGAGATGATGTCTCATCCTGTCAAGGTGGTTATGGCAGCCATGTTTATTGATAGCCTTGAGTCACTTACCATTTAACACACATAAACCAAGATTTCACAATGTGACGTGATCTCTGTCTGAATCTGCAGCCACAAAACAGTTGATTTTAAACATTTTCAGAGTATAAATATAGAAATGATAGAAAGGTTGTTGGTATGTTTGACCACATATTTTGCCCTGGACGTATAATTTGGTCAGTGACCTTTCATGTAAAATTATTATTATGATTTTTTAGTCTGCTCTCGTGTTAGTAGTCTCATTTTAAAATACATCAAATGCTAGAAATGTATTCTGTGTGCTTTAAAAATATATTCATTTATTTTTTTCTCTTTCAGAGTGACCAAGTGTTGGTTTGGTGTGAGAACCACAGACGCTGCACTCAGGTAATTACAATCTGTAACTACTGCATGTTATCAGCGATAACCACAACCTCAGACCAATGACCAATGACCTGTTTCCTTTTCACAAGTTAAAGGTTGAATGTGGAACAGTTTAATAAAAAAACTATGTTTTATAAAAATAATACCTCCACAGGGTATTTAGATGTGTGCAGAATGAAGGTACAGTATTTGCTTTAAAAGCTATTTTTATTTTGAGGGGCAGGGCACTGGGTTTATGTTTACATCTACCAGCCAATAGAGGGCGCCATTGCAGGTTGCCAAACTGTCCGCTCGGCATAGCGAGGTTGGCACTGTGGGAAATGGTCAAGCAGCTGCTTCTGAGCCCAGAAGATGTCATTATCGTTCTCAGAAGAGGAGCATTCATAACAGATCTACAATCAGCGTGAGTTCAGGTGAAGCCTACAACAGATGGATCCAAATAAAAAAAATTCACATTTCGGCAGCAAACCTGGTATCCCAATGGCTGGAAACCTTGTTCTATTGCTGCAACTACAACTTGCACACACTAGATGTCACTTTGGCATTCGTGTTCCATATTCCACCTTTAATTAAAGCAACCATACAAAAGCATGACTCCAATTAGGGGTGCACTGATTGCAGTTTTTGGCTGATCACCGATCTTGAGAAAAACCTGACTTTCCAATACCGATTTCGTCTTAACTAAAAGCAGATTAAGGTTTCAATATCCTTTTACTGTGAAAACCAATATGAATACTCATGAAACAATACCAGTTTCAACTGTACATGAGGTAATGTTCCCAGAACATATTTAGCATTGCTGTTTGAACTACAAAATCATATTTGTTCCTTTAGACTTTCATTTTTCTAATTTTGAAAACAAAACTTTTGTACCTTTTTTGACACACTTGTCCAAAAAAGTATTCTAAAGCAATGATTTGCTTAAACATTAACTAGGAGTGCACCGATTGCAGTTTTTGGTCGATCACCGATCTTGGAAAAAAAAAAAAAAAAAACGAGATCGGGGCCCATAGATCTGTTGGCTGACAGATTGGTGCACCCCTAGTGACAAAGCAAACAAATAGGAATGCACATTTTTTATCATTCAACTGTTGTTTACATTCATATAAACGCTTGCTGGAATGCCCAGTGTAGTATCGTGCTGGTGATGCAGCATCTGATGTTGGCAGAATCGGTGCCTAGTCTTTTCTGATAATGGCTTCCAGGTAAGATGCATCAGCAGGACTAATCTGACAAAGTTGATGTCTGAAAGCCTGCCGCACACAAGAGCAAACTGCTGAGCTAACAGTCATTCGAGGCCATTTGTTCAGCAGATGCCTCGTTGTGCGTGCCTAATTTCTCTGCCTCACGAGACACTGAGATGAAAATCAAATCGGTTTGATATTTTTTGCCTCACGGGGGTCAAAAACTCACTGTGTGCACACTACATAAGCTGCCGGCTAAGGTGAAATATTCTAGTGGCCACTTAAAGTGCATTCTCTGCTTACATGATTCAAAGCTGGCAGCCCCTGTCTGCATGTCAGCAAAATACCTAACCCTTTTTAAATCTGATTTATTATCTATTGCATATTGGAATATTCCGTCTAACTTGTTATTAATGTGTTACCTGGACTTCCTGTCTAGGTTCAGAATTATTTAGAAGCTTAATTCCAGATGAAAAGAGTCTTATTTTACCTTGTTCTATATTTTTGAAACTTGGCTACAAATTCACATGGCAGCTGAATAAAGAAAAAGGTAGATGTAGGCAGAGCTAGAGCTGTTCAGCACACACTCAGTGTGTGTGTGTGTGTGTGTGTGTGTGTGTGTGTGTGTGTGTGTGCATTTATATTAGGGTCAGCAGGGGTTAATGTCAACAGCAGCCAACAGCACACCACCCCCAGAGATCTCCACCACCAGATCGTTGCAGGGAATATCACACAGACTAAAACATCAGACATCCACTTTCAGCTATTCTTACCCCCAACCACCTCAAACCAAAAGCAGGAATCTAAACAGAGCCTCTGACCTCAAACTAACTTCAATCCATACTTTCTTTTCACAGGATCTGAAAAAGAAAACGATTATCTGCTTTAATACTGTCTCTTATACCATGTTTGTTATCAGAGCCTAAAAGTCACCGCCCTGCTGTCCAAAGAAAGTTATGGCAGGCCAGATTAGCTCAGTCTTCTGTCGTCGAGGGGTCTTGCCATTTGTTGGACTTCACTCATGGTTGCAAATGGAATAAAAGTGTTTACATGAGCAGGTCTCATTAAAAGTTTTTAGATGGATTATATTTGTCGAGATGGAGCCACTAAAAGCAGTAACTCATAAACCCAAACCTGTAAAATTTCACCTATAATTAGCATTATTGTGAACAGACAGTTGGATTCGAATGTGTTAAAATTGGTTTACTCTAAGAATTGAGCCATGAATGTGAGTCATACTTAGCAGGGAATCAAAATCTGGCACAGCAAAGATTTTACTTGCTGCTCTTAAGTGCACACACGTGCAACTTAATTCTGACTTTTACCCTGAAAAGAGAAACAGTATGTGCTGTAAATGCTGCATTCCCTGTTTGTTTGAATTTTTTAACAGAACAACCAGCAGGTGTGGTTGCAGCCCTTGGTGATGCACCTGTTCTTGCAATTCAAAATGTCTTCTGTGAAATAGGCCAGTTATCCATTAATTCTATAAACAATAAAACATTGGTGGCCAACATCCCTTTTTTCTTGCATGCAAAATAGAAGATGTACCTTACATACCATGTATGTGTGAGAAAAGGTTTAAAAGATTTGTGTCTCACATCAAAGTTAAAGTCCCTGAAATGGCAAAAACCAGACCTTTGATATTCATAATCAGTGGTGAGGATTTGAAATCTTTGGGTGACTTTTGCCAATTCAATCTTTTAGGGTCATAGTTAAAAGCGGCCCTAGAGTTCAAAGCCACATTTACTATGTTGTTGTTGAATGTAGGCAGCTTGGGGTGCCTAATGTACACCCCAAAAGCATATGCCATTTTTCCAATGTAAATCAGTAATGTGACAAAACCCACCTTGCCTGCTGGTGGTGGTCGGAGGGACCGGTGGCACCAGCAGCCTCACCTCTTGTCAGTGTGGCTATAATGTAGCTCATCACCAGCAACATGTGAATGGGTGAATGATACACTGCAGTGCAAAGTGTTTTGGAGTCCTCTGACTCTGAAATGTGCTATATGGAGTCTAAGTAATGCCGATATATTTCCAGACCGTGGGTCCCTGGAAAAACGAAAAAAAATTAATGCAAGTCAATGGGGCTAAAACCTCTATTTTCTATTCCCGTTTGTTTTGTGCCACAGATTTCACATATGATGACCACAAATTGTAAAGATGCATTCTGATGCAAAGAAAGCGCTTATTTTCAAACAGGGTCAAAGGTTTCTCCTGTTTCTTTGCCTGAGCAAACCAAACTAGTTACCTCTATGAAGTCATCTGCATGCCCCCTCGTCATCTTACCCTTATCTTTGTATAGACATGCTTTTCAGTCCATCGGTCCAACCGTGCTCTTATGCTAAATGTTTCTCTGGTTTCTGGTCAGGTCCCTGCTTAGTTTAAGAATGCTGTAATCCACCTGTTTCTTAGAAAACCAAGTCGACTCCTCTCTCCATAGCAGCTTCAGACTCATCTCTAAACTTCCGTTCATCTCCAAGATCTTGGAGAAGGTTGTGGCTAAACAACTCACAGCTGCTCTTGATGAACATGACAGTTTCCAGCCAAGTTTTCATAGAGCTCATTCTACTGAAACAGCTCTTCTCAGGGTCTCTAATGACCTTCTGAGTCACAGTGATGCAGGGGACTGTTCTGTTCTGGTCCTGCTGGACCTGACTGCAGCCTTTGACACTGTTGACCATCACCTGCTACTGGAGAGGCTGAGAGACTGGGTAGACCTATCAGGAACTGCTCTGGAGTGGTTCTCCTACTGAAAGCATCAGTGGTGCGGAACTGCTTCAAATAGAATCCATTATAGTCTATGGAGTGTTTCAAATCAGCAGCGACGCTCCAATTTCCAGGCACCTCCCAGAAGCGGCACGCCGCGCCGCTAAAGATAAGACCGGGTTCTATTTTTGCAGCGTGCTGCTTCTGGGATGCATTAATTTCTGCACTTAACATAGGGCTAGACGGGAAAACACACGGTTTCAATGTAAAATCACCAGCATATTTCAAAATAAAAGTACTGCAGCGATTAAATTTCATATATATGAAGCTTACATGTGACCCGACAACTTATTTACTCACAGCATCGTTCCAGAACTGCAGCAGTGTGTTTTCATGGCTTTATTCTTGGCAGTAGAGAGGAACAACATCATATATGGCATCAAATGGCAATACCAAACTTGATTTCCTTCTTTTTGGTTTATTGGCGGATTGCATAAACAAATGGTGACCTGAAGTCTCGAGGGATAATGTGATCTCACGAGTCCAGTGAAGAGCAGAGAGGAAGCCGTGTCACTGCTAAGACTCTCCCAGTGTGAAAAGGAGCACTTTGAAGTTTGCGAGTAAACCGTTCCTCTTCCTTTTGTGCTGCCGATGCTTCCAGTGTGAAACCGGCATTAAACTATTTAAAAACCTGGATGGCTCGGAACGTTCTACAGCCGAATGAAGATAAGACTGAGATCCGCATCTGTGCCCCAGACAAGCTGGTTCCCAAAGTCAGAGACCCTCTCAGTCAGCTTTCTTCTCACACCAAACCCTCTGTCAGGAATCTTGGTGTGACCTTTGACCCAGCTCTCACCCGGGATTCTCATGTCAATTCTCTTGTTCGCTCTTCCTTCTTCCATCTCAGGAACATTTTTAAGTTGAGTCCCATTCAGTCCCGGTCTGAACTTGAGACAGTTATCCACTCCTTCATCTCCTCATGCTTAGACTACTGCAACTCTCTTTTCACGTGTCTGAACAGAACCTCCCTGAACCGTCTACAGGTGGTTCAGAATGCCTGTGTTCGGCTTCTGACCAAATTATCAAAACACCCTCACATCACCCCGCTTCTCCT